GCGCCTGGGGAGCAGTGGAGGGCTGCCTGCCAGTGGCTTGCTGGCTCATGTTTTGGGGCCACTGGGTCAGGGGTAGTGACTGCTGGCTCTGGGCTGGTAGGCTTGGAGCTGGCACTGGCACTGTGGCCAGAGTCTACCCCTTTAAGGGCTCCAGGGAGTGGGGGAGGGAGAAAAGTGTTCTTGGTTGAGGCTGGAATGGCCACCATGGCACCCTGGGAAGGCTGGAAGGCCCCCTGTTTCAAAATAAGTGTTTACACAGCACTTATTTTGAAATAGCTATTTCGAATTTGGCATTATTCCTCATAGAATGAGGTTTACCAAATTCAAAATAAGTGCTCCGCTATTTCAATTTTATTTTGAAATAGCGGTTTGGCTGTGTAGACGCTAGGAAAGTTATTTCAAAATACGGCTGTTATTTCGAAATAACTGTGCTATGTAGACATACCCTCAGAAACAACAAAAGGGTGCATATGGAACTTGACAGTCTATATCTTAAAGACATAAACAGCATGGGGAGATAAATTATTCATGTTGAGCTAGGAGGAGATAAGTAATAGTAGTGGCATGCAAATAAGGAAACATTTAGATAACTATCAGAAAAAAACTTCCTGACAATCAGATATTGTAGTCTTTGGAATTGTTCTCCAAGGGAAAAGACCCATCATTTGGACATTTTAAACAGAGTGGACAGAAATCCTAAATTTTCAAAACGCGATTAATAATTGTGGGTGCCCAACCTGAGACTCCTTAAAAGTGCCTTGTTTTTGGAAAGTGCTGCACAGTGTGCACCCATCCTCTGAAAAATCAGGCTCCTTTAATATGTTTCTATTTCAACACTCAGAATTTGAGTCCTGAGAAATCATTAGACATTTTGAAAATGTAGCCCAGAAAATGCCTGACTGCCGAAGACAGGTCTCTTGGTAGGGAGATGGACTGATTGACGTAACACATCTTTTTCTTTTGTTTCTTGCTTGACTGATTGTATGCACTGACTCTGTGCTAAAAATGGAAAATAAATTGTTATTTGGGATATAAAGTAATACCCGAGATTCCAGTAACTTTCATGTTGCTGTTTCTAAAAATGGCCATAATAAATTATGATGTTAATGATAAACCACATAAATTCCTGAGATATAGTGGATTACCTCACACAAAGGTGCTAGACTTTTCTGATATAATTAAAGATTTGCAGAACAAAGGAAATTCAATGAACACAATTTATCTTAATGTCACTTACTTTTTGATACAGGAGCAAATACAAATTAAAAGAACTTAGATGCTGTTATGACTAAAAGTATCATGGAATATCTACATTTTTGGTGGGTGCATTTATGTATAAGATATAAAATATCTCTGGTATTAAACTGTGCAACCATGTCATGGAAGGATGTATTAAGATATGTCTTTTAACAATGAGTCTTGCAAGTTATGGACCTGACCTGTAGTTTTCTATGAGCAATATTAATGAACCTGAAAAACCATATAATATTGGATTGACTATATTGGCATATGATTAATTATGATGCAATGATTAATTAACATCAGGGAAGTTCATCAACAGTATTCTCTGGCAAGCTTATGCAGATATCCAAATATATGTTGTAAGATTTAAGATACTGCAGATCAGTGATTCTCCAGCTCATTTAGGCTACGTCTAGACAGCAGGGCTATTTTGGGATACCGGAAGTATCCCGAAATAGCAATTCTGCATCTTTAAATGCACCTGTTATTTCAAAATAGATTTTGAAATAATGGGTGCACTATTCTGGCACCTTGTAACCCTCATTCCACAAGGATTAAGGGACATTTCAGAA